CATTGAGATGTTTCTATTTTTCAGGATTGGGCTCATTTTATTGAAACTAGCCTTAGCCAATTCAGTTCCCCTTTTTATTTCAGTGGAAGATTTGGCATCAGATGTTATCATATATCCTAGATATTTAAACTGTTGGATTTGTTTGATCTTTTCACCTTTGCTAATGAGATTACAACTAGATTAGGATTTGCTGCTATTTTATATTACCATGCTGTTTTCTTTACATTCAACAATAATCCTTTACGGTCACTTGCTTGGCTTAAGAAAGAAAAAAAACCAAAAACCAAACAAGCCAAAACACAAAAACGACCTTGAGTCTGTAACTCGAGGTAAAACTCGACTTCTGCATTGTGAAAAACAAGGTGTGCGCTGAGCACCAAAGGGTCAATACACAATATTAAGGTAAAGATCAGAAGTTGTGTCTTTCCCACCGTGTCGGGGTCGTTTGCCTTACCGTATGTTACTGTCTCTCAGCTTGGATTAAAGACAAGAGAGCCTGTAGACATTGCAGGTTTTTATTTCCCCTCTCTCAGTCTCCTCTGAACTTGTTGCAACATTGCCGATGTTTGAAACACTGACTTGATGAACTAAAACCTCTTGAAAAGGGTGTTTTCAAATAAAGGGAAGTAGATTATATGTTAATAATACTACTACTAATAATAACATGTAACATTTATATAGTGCATTTCCAAAACAAAAAAAAAGCATTTATTATGACGATTATGTGCATGAAAGGTGCAGATCCACGAATAGACAGATAGAAGGAGTCAAAGAAACATGAGTCAACAACAAGAATCATGGTACAGGCGATACAACAAACAAGAGTGTGACGTTTGCTTCTTCTCTCGGCCACGGAAAGTAACAGAGGGTAGAAAAAGGAAAGAGAAAAATATGGAAAAAAGTAGATCTAAGTTTCTCTGACGACAACAAAAGAGGGAAAAAAAGAAGAGTGATTTACCAATAGCATCATTTTTACAGCAACAACCTGATTGTTGACAGTTGTGAGAACGGTCTCTTACATGAGCCTTTTTGTAATATGGCAAGGCTAATATAGGGCATATTTCACCATAAAGCAAGTGGTATATTGTTGATAATAATAAATAGCATTTGTATAGCACATTTCCCAGCTCAAAAGCAAGATTTACAATCGTATCATTACCCCAACAGAACAAAAAAAAACAAAAAAAAACAAAAAAACTCAAAAACATTCTTAGCTTCCAAGCTTCATGGGGGAGGGGGGGGGGGGGGGGTAGATGTGTTTTTAAAATGAGTTGTGGTTTTTTTGCCTGATGTTATTTTTAGGAGGGACTTCTTGCAAAATATCTGTGAAAAATGAAGGGGGGGGGGGCAGTAGCAGTATTTCTCAAAATATAACAGTAGCCTTTAGATAGTGTGTAGCTCGCTAAGGAAACACTATGAAATCTCCCAAAATAGCGCATGAACAACCTCACGGAGCTTGTAATTCTTAGCAGAAAATGTCTAAATCAACATCCATTACCTGACACCACACCTCCGTTCGTGACCCTCAACTCTCACGCCCCCTGCCCCCAACCTTCTACTGACATTTGTGAGGCAGCGTGGTAGAATCAGGCTCTCGTCAAAATAATCAAAGTGAAGAAGCTTGCATTTTTCCACAGGTTTGTGAATTTTTATCAAATTTTTATTTTGACTCAACACCTTTCATGCTCATTAAAGAACTCATTGTTGTGTGGAATTTTCTGAAAAACGTTGATAAAAGGCACAAAAAACTTAAATTTTCAGTTACCACGAACTCTTAAGCTAAGGAAATAACTAATCTTTGGCGGCCATTTTCTCACTAATTTTAACTCTGAAAACAGGTGACCCCCACCTCCTTCTTTCGCAAATATCTTGACTTGTATTCAAGATAACTGGATATTTTTTTCACCAAATAAAGACACGTGAACAGGCTTTATTATAGTAACAATAACTCTACAAGCCCAAAAATTGACGAGAGCCTGATTCCACCACGCTGCCTCACATTTCATATTTTTTTCACCCCCCCCCCCCCCCCCCCCACCCCTCCCGACTCATTAACTGGCAAGTAAGATTTTGATCTGCCTTTCATCTATTTCCGAACATTATAAAACTATTTTTTAAACCACCAGAGGTATTTAATTGTCAGTTGTTCTTTGTTCTTTGAGACAACGATGAAAAAATAAAACTTTGAGGGTCTGGCCAGTGTTTTGCAAACATAAAGGTCGTCTCAGCTTACTACTGTTTAACATAGTATCGAGAGTGCTGTCGATTTGAGAGTGGAAAACGACGTCGCCCACCCAACTTCTAAAACAAAACCCGAAAAAGTACAACGAATTTCTGTGTCTAGATCTATATAATGCGATTTATGAAACGTAGGTATGGACTTTTATTCCCACACTTGCTCCATTAATCAAGTTCCGGGCCTGGCAGAGAAATAATGAATGCTTTAAATACATGGCAGAATGATTAATGCGACACTGTGAAACAATAGAATTCATTTATAAATAGCGCTCTATCCGTACGAGTTTAATAAGCTGTAAGCACTCTACTGAAGCCATTAGTAAGCAACATGGACCGTTCTTAATCC